TCCATTCTAATAGGGGTGGGCATCAATCCGGCCGATCCGGTTAATCCGGCCGAACCGATTATATTGGATTGGTTTGGTTTGGTTTTGACCAAAGAAAAAGTCAACAGTTTGAAAAATCGAACCGAACCGGTTTGGTTTGGTTCGGCTGCAGTTTGAGTATTTTAAAAACTGTTCTAAACCAAACCGAACCGATTATAAATTAATTTATTATTTATTTAATTTAGTTTACATGTGGCAAGATTTGAGTGGTTATTTAGAAGTGTACCATGTACCTTGCAACACTTGATTGGACTCCAAAACTACAACTCACGTAACAAATTTTCTGTAATTATTTGATTTTGATTCTATAAAAATAAGTCTGGTTTGTTTTTGTGATAATGACGAGGTCGTAGACAGCCCCTCAACCACTGAGATGACGAAGTCCTCCTTCACCTCTTCTTCATCTGCTGCTTCTATTTTGGGTATAGGTATGAAAACTAGTTTCTCTGTTTTTAATGTTTTTAATTTTTTGGCTGTGCAAACTGACATCATAAAAGCTGGCGACCATAGATTATAATTGAATGTGTTTTTATACAAGACGACCATAGATTATAATCTCACCAAATTAATCTGAAATCATATGCCTGTTCAATAGCGTAGCTGCAGTTTTATATAATATATAAAAGCCAGTTGGAGTTAATTATGATATGAAGAATGTAGTATAATCTCCAATAACTGGTTGTATATAAAGACTGTAGTATACCTTGCTTTGATTTAGTTTTGTTCATATAATAATGAATATAAAATGCTGCTTATGTGATATTAATGCTTGCTGCCTGTTCACAAGAGAGAAGATCAAATGTAGTGAATAACAGAAGAGGAAGAGGACCTTGCATTTGTGCCTTGGTGCAGATCTCAGGGATGTTGTTTGTTGTGTTGAATCTGATGGGGCTGCTGTTTGGAAGGATTATCACTGTTTTTTAAATCATGATTTGTAATAACTATATAATTAAGCACAATAGGATTGTATTTCTTTGAGAATCATGTTCTGTAATAATTATTATTGCTTGCAGCTTCTTTCCTTTGTCTGTTTTTTCTTTACGTCTTTGGGTTGTATGATGTGGAACATATTAGGGAACTTGAGAATGAACATATTCGGGGACATGGAGAAAATGATGTTTTCTTTTATGCCTAAACCGGCCGAACCAAACCGGACCAAACCGTATATGAATGGTTTGGTTTGGTTTGGTTTTCATTTTGATTTTAGCTCAAACCGAACCACACCGGACCGTGAAAGTTTAATTGGTTCAGCTGTGGTTTGAGGGTGAAACCGGACCAAACCGGACCGTGCCCACTCCTAGTAGCAGGAATTTGTAAATTGGTATGGTCATTGTGATGGTTGAAATATCAGGAATTTTGTAAATTTGTATGAAATTGCATTCTCAATAAATTATGGGAGTAGAATTTAAAGATGAACTGAAAAAAAATCACATCTAATCATTCTCCATATCTAGCTCCTAAAATAGGAAGATTTTTAGGAGCTTTTAAATATAAAGAGAGAGAAAGAACTCCTCGAGACTCCTTGTAATTAAATACTTCTATATTTAATATTATTTTAAGAATTTATTTAATACCAACTAATTTTAATTATTGCTTTTGTATCTACACTTTATGGCATGTACACATATGATATGAAATTGTGATATAAAAATGTAATAACACTTTTATGCCATGTGCTTTGGAGAAAAAACCAGTGAATTTGGCCCAGCTAGCTGTACAAATTTTGGTGATTTCTTTTCAAGCTCATATTGAGGCACAAAACAAGTACTGAATCAAAGGGTTCTCAACCAACTGTGAAAAACAAAAAGCTTGGGGAAAAGAAACAAAAGCAAATGCTTAGAATTGGCAAAGGAAATGGGGGAAGTAAATATTAGCTAGAAAAAAGGATGTTCTTTTTTTGTTCCCCCTTTGTTTTAATTTCTTTTTCACTTATTCTAGTTATATTCAGTCTCAGTTGGGCCTCTGCTTCTGTTCATAGAGGAGGAGAAAATGTGATGTAAATCAAATTTTTAAGTAATGATTAGTAGATGAACATGTATGGAACCCTTCCTCTTTCTCTCTGTTTGTTTTGTTTGTCTGTGTATAAAGCTTTCAACTTTCACAGGCACTCCCGTTGTGGGTTCTCAGAAATTTGGTTAATTAATTTACTCTGTCTTTAAGGTACAATGGCAAAAAGAATCAGTGTTGGGGGGGTTGGATGGCCTCAGCATGTTTGCCTGTTTCTTTATATGCCGATACTCTGCCCTGCTTTTGATATTTTACTCTGTCATAACATACATCATCTCTGCAACTTCAGGACTTGAAGTGGTAAAATCAAAGGTTATGTTTGAAGAAATCAATTTTTATATGAAAACAAAGTCTGGAAAAAGTTGGAAGGGACTTATAACTACGCTTGAGGTCCTGTGTTCCAATCCCCCTCTCCATTATCGCTCGGATATTTTCATCTCATGCAGCAATGTGAATACACATGTGCATACATTACCCCATTTTGTATTGCTTTTGTATTATTCTTTTTATTATTGCTTTTGTGTCTACACTTTATTTAAAAATTGAAATAAAAAATATTAAAAACATTTATAACTCCTTAAAATAAGGAGTATGGTTAAAATAAGGGAGCTTTAGTAATATACCCAAAATAGGGGTTGAAATTATAAAAAAACCCTACATGGAATGCACTTTAGAAACACACCCAAAAACCATTTACTACATATGAAATTAGTATTGAAGTTCCTATAAATTACATCTCTGCCATTGATTAACTTAAAACAAGCCCAAAACAAAATTCCCAAAAAAACCCAAAACAAGCCCAACGAGCCCATATCAAATTTTTTTGAAAAAACCCAAACTGAAAATTAAAAAAAATTAAAAAATTAGAAAACCAAGGGTTTGTCCCCACGGCCATTCATTCTCCATCAAACCTCCACAAACTATCTCATAGAAGTGCATTGTTAATACCATGTCATAAAAGTGCATTGTTAATACCATGCTATAGAAGTGCATTGTTAATACCATGCTATAGAAGTGCATTGTTAATACCATGCTATAGAAGTACATTATTAATACCATTTCATACAAATAAAAACATTGTTAATACCATTTCATAAAAAAAACCATTATTAGTACCATTTCATACAAAAAACATTGTTAATACCATTTCATACGAAAAACATTGTTAATACCATTTCATAGAAAAACATTGTTAGTACCATTTCATTCAAAAAAAACATTGTTAATACCATTTTATACAAAAAACCATTATTAATACCATTTCATACAAAAAACATTGTTAATACCATTTCATACGAAAAACATTGTTAATACCATTTCATACAAAAAACATTGTTAATACTATTTCATACAAAAAACCCAAAAAAGCCTAGCAAGACATCCGATATCCTTTGCAGAAACCACCTCCAATTGTCTACAGTTTCACCAGATACAATTGCAAAGGCAAAAGGAAAAACCTCTACAAGAAAAAAAAGTACACTGTTAATACTATGTCGTAGAACTATATTCCTAGTAAAAATCACATTCTACATATCATAAACTTCAAGTGCATAGCTATATATAGAGCAAAATATAGAGCATGCTTTGTTACTAAAAATTTGTTAATACTATCTCATAAAAGTACACTGTTAATACTATGTCATAGAAATCAACTCAGTTGCAAAATCACATTCAACATATCATAAACTTCAAGTGCATAGCTATATATAGAGCAAAATATAGAGCATGCTTTGTTACTGAAAATCTGTTAATACTATCTCATAGAAGTACACTGTTAATACTATGTCATAGAAATCAACTCAGTTGCAAGGTATGAACAGTATCACAACTGTTCATACCACTTACTGGAAGTTAACAACTACATCATTTCATTTGTATAATAGGTACGATAAAAGTTTACAACTCCATACCACTCAAAATCAACTACATCATTTCATTTGCATAATTAATTGATCCTTCATTACTCCACATACCATAAATATTGAATCGGAGTGGCTCCCACACATACTGCTCATTATCATTGTGCTTGGTGGTAACAATGACCTTATCTGCAACAAGAGAAGCACCCGCAGCCAAGGCTTCCATAAATTCCTTGGTGCCAGACCTTGCAATGGTACCAAGGATGTTCACCAAATCTGACAACAAGAAATAGGAACAAAATAATTAAGCATAATAGAATAATTGGAACAACACAGATAACAATCATAAGCCCAAAGCGCATAATTGATAGGCTGAAATAGTATATAGAATTTGAATAGTCTGCTATTTCACTACAAACTACAGGGATAATATGAAACCATTCACTCCCCGAGTCAAAATTTCAATAGACATATGCTGAACCAATAAGAGAATAACATAGATTTTTTAAATTGAACTAAGAAATCTACAGGGCAGAAAAAGCAAAGAAACTCCATATGGGTAATAAAAAAATTCCTTTTGCATGCAAACCGATATCTGCTTTTTCTGATATTCTTTAAAACAACAAATGGCCAAACCTTGTAGACTCCAATATGGACCAAACCTATTTTATTTCCTTTTCCTCCTAATTTCAGGATTTGTAGGCCACCACACTCTCAGCCATATAATAACATCCACAAAACCCCAACCCACCCTCTTTCTTCAACAACAGGCAGACTACAAAATAATCTCTACTAAAACGTAAACCCCCAATTTGTTTACTGAATGGAGGAAAATGAGTAACAAAATCTTGAACAAGTTCTCTTCACATCAAATAATCAAAGAACCAAAAAAAAAATAAAATCTAAAACCGTTTTTCTACCCCTTCATGTCCTGCTTTCTTAAGTAGCAACCAAACAGTGCAATGCATTACATCAGTTGCGTAAAGAAACTCGTAATCACTCACACAAACATAACAAAAAACCCTAATCAACAACAAGCACAACGAGAAAGTAATTAGCTACAACTTACAACCGCAATTAAACAAATAAAAAGTAGCATTGCTCAAAGAAAATTTACCCGTGCGAGATGAAAATGCAGAGGACCTCTCTGATCGTGAAGCTCTCTGCTTGTTAATATCGGAAATGCACTTCACCTCCTCGAAAATTCACCTTGCTGTGGCTTTGTACTGTGAAACCGAAGAGAGCTCAGAGCATCCGCCCTTTGAATGGAGAAAATGGCGAAGAAATCTGCAGGGAAGTAAAGCAAGAAGAGCTACATGTATAGAAAAAATCTAGAGAGAGAAAGTCACTGGTGTAGATAGAGACACTTGTTGCAGTGAAGAGTTGCCAGAACCACAGGGCTCTGAAGAACTCGAGGGAGGAACAAAACACAAATAGAAAACACAACAATTTATACAATAAACACTAGAAAATATTGAAATGAGCAATCAACATAAGAATAAACGGTGAAAATACGTACATCAGAGGTGTCATTGATGAGCTTCTTCAATGGCGGCCGCAGAGAGGAAGAGGAAGCGGCAACCCCTCTGGCTCTGGAAAAATCGTCGTCGCATCTGCAAACAAGAGATCCGGGTTGAAAATCGAGAACAGAAGACGGATCTGGCCATTTTGGAATATATTGTCGGTGGAAATCGGCGATCCGTCGGGGTTGGAGCATGCGAAAGAGAAATCGTCTTCATCTTCTTTCTTCTTGCAATCACCATCAGCATCGGCGTTCTGAACACCTTCATCCGGCAATTGACACCTCAAATCTACAGAGTACCCACAGAACTCAGCGAGCTTAACCATTAGCTATGTTCATATCGAAAAAATAGAAATTAGCACGAAATTCAACGAAGAAACTGAAATCAAGTCGAAATTCAAGTTAATTAAGCAAAAATCAAAAGGGAAATAACGAATTGAAGCAGATGGAACAAACCTGCAAAAGAAATGGAGGCATCAGCGGCGAGAACACGTGTGAGGCCACCGACGTAACGGAGATTGTCGTCAGTCTTGTGTTGGTCCATGGCTCTGAGACTGTTTGGTTTACTTTGAAGGCAAAGAGAGGGAAGAAGGGAGAGAACAGAGGAGAGATGTGGGTTTGAAGGAGGA